AGAAGGAGTCCCTGCAATCAAGGTGCAGGGATGCAGAAATTTATGGGCGCATGGCTGACGGTCTGGCAAAGAAAGGCCACCACCCCCGCACCCTGGACCAAATGCACTTGAAGGTCAAAGAACTGTGGCAGGCTTATACAAGGGCCAATGAGCGCAGCTCCTTCTCTGGGGAAGCTCCCCACTACCGCCTGTACTTTAAGGAGTTGGACCCCTGCAATCAAGGTGCAGGGATGCAGAAATTTATGGGCGCATGGCTGACGGTCTGGCAAAGAAAGGCCACCACCCCCGCACCCTGGACCAAATGCACTTGAAGGTCAAAGAACTGTGGCAGGCTTATACAAGGGCCAATGAGCGCAGCTCCTTCTCTGGGGAAGCTCCCCACTACCGCCTGTACTTTAAGGAGTTGGACCAAATACTATGGGGTGGGCAACCCCTGTCTCCACTGGTGTTGGTGGAGTCAGGCACGGAGCTACAGGCAGAGGAAGCTGTGGAGGAGCAGCAGCTGCAGGAGGAGGAGGAGGAAATGGAGACTGCAGTGACCCTCAGGCTGGAGTCAGTCCCACCGACCCAGGAGGCCTCCCAGGCATCTTCACACCCCGGGGTGAGAACATCAGATGAGTGCTGTGAGGTTGCCACACACACAGGGTGGGGAAGGCGGGAGCACAGGGGATGGGGCGCTCTCATCAGCATCTGGCTGTGCACATGCAGCGGCAGGGGCAACAGGTGGAGCCAGTCCCACAGCACATGCGGGCTGCTGCTCTCAGCCTAGGGAGGGCCCCACACATATGCGAGCCCAGGGAGGGCCATCCTTCCCCTGCCAGACACTGTGGGAAGCCAGCTGTGCACAAGGACGCATGCATGACCTCACACAGATCTATGCGTGTCGCACATAGCACGCGGCCATGTGTGCATGTGCGAAGCACCACCCGCTCCCGCAGACAGTGCTGACACGTTTAGGTGGAGGGAGGGGCAGGGAAGGTCAGGCCACTGCAGGCCTCTCTCTAACACCTGGGAACCCACTATGGGTGGACACTTCCCTGGGCTGTTTGGCCAAAGGGGCGGGGCAGGATGGTCCCATTGGCACCTCAGGGCCGCTGTGAGGCTAGGGCTGCTGGCCAGGCCACACGTGGACTTGCTATCAGAACATCAGCATCCCCTTTCAAGGAGAGTTACAAGGACGGCATGTCCTCCAGGACAGTGTGTGCACACATGACTGGCTGCCTCTCCTTGTCCTCTGCAGCAAGACCAGCCATGCCTGAGGGTTGAGCTACACCAGCCCCGCCACCATGCTGGGTCCATTGCAGCTGCAGACACTGACGTGTCTACCAGGAATTGATGCTGAAACACATTGGCATCCTCCAGGAAATGAAGGAGACTATCGCAGCAAGGACACAAGCAGATGCTGTGTGACACGACTGCTTATTAGACGAGCTCATCCAGCAGCGGACTACCATCTGTGCCACAGTACGGGAGGTCATGGCTTTCCCAGCTCCTGACCCTGTTGCCACTCCTCCTGCATGCCATGCTCCTGCTCCCCTCTCCCATCCCCCATCCTTCTTTTCCATCTCGGCATCTGCACATCCCACCAAGCAACGTTTCGCTGCAGGAAGAATGTTCCAGCCTGCAGCCTGTGGTCTGAGTTCCTAAATACGCGGGCATCATGTGCCTGGCCCAACCACCCGACACAAGTGTCTGTAAACTGTCCCTGGTGGTCAACCAGGGCCTGCAGCACCATTGAGAAGTAACCCTTCCTGTTGCCGCTCGATGGGGTGGCACATTGATCAGGATGTGTGTCCCATGGAGAGCTCCTCCACTGTTCGGGAATCCTAGGCCAGCAAAGCCAGCCACGATGGTGTCCAGGTCTCTGAGGTAGACGATCCTGTGCAGCAGCTCTGAGTTGATGGCCCTCACCGCCTGCAGAAAGAGACATATAGAAACACACAAAAAAGGGAATTAGAGGGGGTACCTGAGCCCTCTCTACTTGGATGGTGCCCCTCACTCAATCCCTTTCCCCAAAGGATCCAGGATCCACTCCCCTTCAGGCCAACCCCCCAGCAGCAGGGCTGGATGAGGCCAGGAGCCCCCCCACTCACACTCACACTCCATCTCCCACTGCCCTTTCCTGACAGTCCCCCTTTTCCAGCCTCCCGCCCCCCACAGGGACTGTCCCCTGAGAGTGACATACCACCATCAAGACGGCCCCAACGGTGGACCTCCCCATGCCAAACTAGTGTCCCACCAAGCAGTAGCTATTGGGGGTGGCCAGCTTCCACAGGGCAATAGCCACCCGCTTCTCCAGGGGGGTGGCAGGCTGCAAATGGGTGTCCTGTCATTGGAGGGCAGGGGCAAGCCAGGTACATAGCTCCAGGAATGTGGCCTTCCGCATGCTGAAGTTTCGGAGCCACTGCTGGTCGTCCCACCACCCCAAGACAAGGCAGTCCCACCAGTCAGAACAGCATCCAGCCTCCAAAATTGCCTCTCCACTAAGAAGTTTGGATGCAAGGGCATTGGTCCTACACCAAGGGTGAGGCGCTCAAGACCAAGGTCTGAGTCCAGATGGGGCAGGACCGGCATGATGGTATCATGGAAGTGCTGCAGAAGCTGCAGCATGCGAGTGTGGGGCCATTGCCTGCCCAGTGCCAGCTCTAGCTCCCTGGCAAAAATTAAAACATTTAAAAAAAAATTACAAAAAAATTACAAAACAAACCAGAAAAACCAACACAAAACCTGTGGCATCCAAGAAAGATGAACAACCTGAGTACACTATACTATCCCTCTGAGAGGTAGCAAGTGCCCAGCAGAAGCAGAGAAACAGCTGTCCAGGGAGGTCCCTCTAAGCACAGGTCTCTGCTAGACTTATGCAGTAGCATCCAAAACTAAATGCTGCCCTTATGCCCTGCCAGAAGTGGTTCCAGGTGCCCTTTTTGCAAGAGAGTATCCTAGCAGTCTGGACGCTCTCTTTCAACAAAGTGGGTTGCTTTTTCGATCTGCTTTGGAGGGCTAGATGCTCTCTTTTGAAAGAAGCTTTTTTGAAAAATCTCTTTTGAAAACACTTCTTTCAAAAGAAGCTTGTAGTCTAGACGTACTACTGAGTGGAGCCAAAAAAAAAAAATCTGTTCAAAACATAGTAAGCAGCTAATGTTTGAGTTCTGTGTAAACTTAGTATGGAATGTACAGCATCTGGACCAATCTGCAGCTCTTCAGAAGCAATGAATGTGTAGATACATGTTTTATAAACCTCTACTGCTGTAGCAGCATTAATCAGAGAATCTCCAGATGCTTTCCAAACTAAAGATCAATGTCCCTGTCAGCTGATTGTTTTTCATGAGGATATTTCAGGGGAAGAAAATTTCGGCTGGCATACTCGTACATGTATAGTAGGAAAAAAGGTGGGGGATTTTTACTTTGTTAGCCTTCTAGACGTGGTTCTTTTGAAGAAAAAAAAAACCTCCTGAGGAGTATGGGATCTTTCTAAAAAGTGGGTTTTTTTCCGAAAGAACCAGGTCTAGACAGTGGTTTTACTTTCGAAAAGCCTTTTTTCAAAAGACCACGTGGCCACCATTATGCAAATGAAGCAGGGGAAATTAAAATCCCGGCTTCATGTGCAATTTCGATCCATCTAATTTACATCCCTCTTTCGAAAGAGGGATGTAGTTTAGAGATACCCTTTGGCTGTGTCTACACTCGCGGCTTCTTAACATAAGAACGTAAGAAGGTAAGAACATAAGAACGGCCGTACTGGGTCAGACCAAAGGTCCATCTAGCCCAGTATCCTGTCTGCCAACAGTGGCCAACACCAGGTGCCCCAGAGAGGGTAGACCGAAGACACGATGAAGCAATTTGTCTTCTGCCATCTCTCTCCAGCCTCTGACAAACGGAGGCCAAGGATACCATTTTATCCCCTGGCTAATAGCCTTTTATGGACCTAACCTCCATGAAATTATCTAGCTTCTCTTTAAACTCTATTATAGTCCTAGCCTTCACTGCCTCCTCTGGCAAGGAGTTCCACAGGTTGACTACACGCTGTGTGAAGAACTTTCTTTTATTAGTTTTAAACCTGCTACCCATTCATTTCATTTGGTGTCCTCTAGTTCTTCTATTTAGGGAACTAATAAATAACTTTTCTTTATCTCATGATTTTATAGACCTCTATCATATCCCCCCTCAGTCTCCTCTTTTCTAAACTGAAAAGTCCCAGTCTCTTTAGCCTCTCCTCATATGGGACCCGTTCCAAACCCCTAATCATTTTAGTTGCCCTTTTCTGAACCCTTTCCAAGGCCAAAATATCTTTTTTGAGGTGAGGAGACCACATCTGTACACAGTATTCAAGATGTGGGCGTACCATAGTTTTATACAGGGGCAGTAAGATATTCTGGGTCTTATTTTCTATCCCTTTCCTAATAATTCCTAGCATCCTATTTGCCTTTTTGACCACCACTGCACACTGTGTGGAAGTTTTCAGAGAACTGTCCATGATAGCTCCAAGATCTCTTTCCTGATTTGTCGTAGCCAAATTAGCCCCCATCATACTGTACGTATAGTTGGGGTTATTTTTCCTGATGTGCATTACTTTACACTTATCCACATTAAATTTCATTTGCCATTTTGTTGCCCAATCACTCAGTTTGGTGAGATCTTCTTGGAGTCCCTCACAGTCTGCTTCTGTCTTGACTATCCTAAACAGTTTGGTATCATCTGCAAACTTTACTACCTCACTGCTTACCCCTTTCTCCAGATCATTTATGAATAAGTTGAAAAGGATTGGTCCCAGGACTGACCCTTGGGGGACACCACTAGTTACCCCTCTCCAATCTGAAAATTTACCATTTATTCCTACCCTTTGTTTCCTGTCTTTTAACCAGTTCTCAATCCAAGAAAGGACCTTCCCTCTTATCCCATGGCCATGTAATTTACACAAGAGCCTTTGGTGAGGGACCTTGTCAAAGGCTTTCTGAAAATCCAAGTATACTATATCTACTGGATCCCCCTTGTCCGCATGTTTGTTAACCCCTTCAAAGAACTCTAATAGATTAGTAAGACAGGATTTCCCTTTACAGAAACCATGTTGACTTTTGTCCAACAAATTATGTTCTTCTACATGCTTCACAATTTTATTCTTTACTATTGTTTCGACTAATTTGCCCGGTACTGAAGTTAGACTTACCGGTCTGTAATTGCCAGGATCGCCTCTAGAGCCCCTTTTAAATATTGGTGTCACGTTGGCTACCTTCCAGTCATAGACTCATTGGCTCCTGTCTTGAATAAACAAGAGTTGGCAGAATTCAGGGGTTTTCATCTTGATGTTTGAGGTCACACTGCTGAATATTGCTTGTTTCGGCATTTCAGATATTCAGACTTGATGCATCAGGTATATTAGTTCGAGTACAGCAAGTAGGAAATTACTCCTGAAGTCAAAATCTTTCTGAATTCTTTGTATTACCGGTTTATAATCCAAGTCTTTGGTAAACAGGAGACATACTTACACTTAAATACTTTACCTACATGTGAAATCTCACTTAGGAATCTTACTAAAATTGTGAAGATTAGTTTAAGACTGTGGGAAGAAATTGTGCTCTGAATGGAACTATCTGAGAAAACCATTATTCTCTCTTGTGCATGATATTTACGGTACAATGTGAGATGTTTGCATGTAAAAATACTTTATGGAAATGGCCAATTCAGAGCACAGTGCATCTTGGACTTTGAATTTTTATTACATACTGGTATTGGATTTAGTTATTTAGATAAAAGCCCTTGGGAGGGGAGAATTTAAATCTGCACACTAAATTCAATTCAAGCAAATAGCCTCTATTTCCTATAACAGAGTTTAAGCATTCTAGCACCTTACATTTTAAAGGCAACTAGGGGGTGATGCCTCCTGCTCACTGTGTTCTCCAACCCCTGTCTCTGGGGTTAGGTAACCACAAGTCCTTTGCCCCCTGGCCACTGGGGAGGGCCAGGCCGAGGCATGGCAGCCCTGGCCTGCCCGGGCTCTCTCCCCGCCCAGCTGCTGAGCCCTCCTGAAGCCAGGCCAACCCCTGACTCTTCCCCCACTCCTGACTGCCAGGAAGTTGGTCCAGGCAGAGGTCATGGTTGGCCTGGGTCTCTCCCTCCGCTGTGAGGGGGAAGGGCTCGTGCCGCTTGCAGCTCACCCCTCTCCCCCTACACACAGACACTGTTCAAGCCCTGGCTTCGCCCCTTCCCCGC